TGTGTTCAAACCACTCTCCCGGGTTGGATACATATTTGTCATCCCTTAATCAAAGGACAGAGCGCCTCAATCAAAGGACGACTGCAAAATATGCACAAGCTGTCTGGAGAGATTGCAAGCAAGCTCCCTCAGGGGTTATGTTGGTCCGGACATGGAGACCCACATTCCTTTGCTTACTCAAAACTTTTCCAGACAAATCGATGCTTTGCATGACTTCGTCTTCATTTTCCGTCTTATCGGCGAAAACTGGTGTTCTACCTTATGATTGTTTTCGTTCATGTCCTTGGTGCTTTCTCTCTCAAATACTGCTTAAGCCTCCTATTGCTATAGCTGGAAAGTATTTTGGCTGATTTAGGGATAGTTCAAAAATAATCACGTTTCCTACTCCTTCCTGGGTCTAGGGTCGTGGTAATCTTAGTTAGTTCCGCTTTTGGCAAAATTCCTACATGCATACTGAGTTATGTAGCAAGGCGGTAAATTAACGACAAATTAGGGCAGCGTTTCCGAGCTCTGCCAAAACGTAGCTCCAAAAACTCAACAGTGGAAGCCAAGTCAATCGTTCTAAGGAAGCTGTTGCATTGGAAATTAAAAAGGCGGAGTTATAGTAAAGAACATGGGGAACAGCGGACGAAAGGTGACCGGTAGATAGTAGTAGATGTTTTGTTAGCCTCTGTGCATTTGGCACTTGTCTTGTCGACCGCTTCCGGTTTGTGGACGAAGCTTCCAAAGTACACTAGGGTGTCGAACGTGATGGACGACCCGTTGGCGTAGGCACGAGATCATCACCTGCCTGTCCAAAGAATAAAACAATTATTCAATAGAGCAGAAAACATTCAGTGCGTATACATTTTATGCGTTTAAAAAAATTGTCTTCCTTTCTGTACAAAGTATTTTCCAGAAGTGGTTAAAATATTGGTATTTTGCGTCGATTAATGAAACAGCAATGTTTAAGGACAACGAACACGGTTATTCCAAAAGGGGCGCCCAAACCAAAACACGGGCGGACACTTTTGTACTGTTGCAGCGCGACTTACGGCA